TTCTCTCAATGAGGTAATGCAGGTCATTGTGTTTTTAATTTAAAATTTAATATGCAGGGGAAGGAAGAAAGAAGGAAAGCAACTTATGATATTCTCCTAAAGATGAGTTCTGCCTTGAGAAAACCTTCAGATCTCAAGTCTGATCCATCCTATCACAAACTAATTAACATGGTGAGGATCATTTGATCTCTTTTGTGTGAATTCCTCTTGTAAATAAATTGGCTGCTTTAATTTGTCCATTTTTGTAATTAATGTTTTTATATGCAATAATTCATTACCCAGACATTAAGTTACATGAATAATAATAATAAAACTATATAAAGAATCCTTTGTGATTAGCTAGAAGTTTGTTGTAGCCTCGAAGCAGTAGCTTTCTTCTGACAGTTGAGTTTTAGAGTTAAGTACAAAAGATGCCGATTTGATTTCCATGATAAATATAGTGAAGTTAGAAGCTATCCCAAGAGGCCACAATGTTTTACACCATTAATGTTGCATGCTATTAAAAAACAAGGACTTGTTAACCTTCTAAGTTGGACTTGTATTTATTGTTTTAACGTCGACGAACTTATGTTTTAGAAAAGTCGACATGGTATAAATTTTATGATGCTTTAACTTGCCCTTTGTAAATAATGTCTGCGAGAGATTATTATCGGTCATGAATTTTATTATAATATGTGATGGATATTGCTTAATGTTCAGATAATGGGGTATCTTTCCGGTTCATCACCTCTCATTAAGAGTGGAGCAGTAGCTGCCCTATCTGTTCTCGTATATGATGATCCTGAGATCTGTATAGCATTGCCTGATCTTGTTTCCTCTATTGTAGCCTTGTTGCAAACTAAAGCTGTGGAAGTTATAAAAGTGAGTTTCCGTCGTGCCAACTTATTCTCTTTCATTTCATCTTGCTGTAACTAGCTTTTTTTTTATGTTGTTGACAGGCTGTTTTGGGTTTTGTAAAAGTCTTGGTTTCTTCCTTGCAAGCTAATGACCTGCAGAACTTTCTTTCTGACATCATCAATGGAGTTCTCCAGTGGTCATCTATCTCGAGAAATCATTTCAGATCAAAGGTAAACAGATATTCACTTTAAATAAATGTAGACAGATTATTAGAGATGAAGCTAGGGAGGCTGGCAGTGGTCATGGGCCCCTAAAATGGTTAAATTAAGTACAAGTCCCTCCAAAAAAAAAACTTACAAATTAATGCATGGTAGAATTGCATTTTGCCCTCTCCCCGATGATAGAATTATGTCTAAAAATTATAAAATTAGAAGGTACTACAGTGCTAAAATTGAATCGATCATAAAATTGTATTTCAAGTCCCCGTAAAAAATCACAAGACTTAAACCGTGTTCATTGGATGAATGTAAATGGATGATTGAGGCGTAAACTGTGTTCATTCACATTATCCACCATTTTTTTCTACCCGCAAAATTCTACTCATTCTCAACTGTGTATCTTGGCCATTTATTTACATCCATCCAATGATCCTCAATCAGTATAAAACTGAAGAGTTTTACACTATGTAACTGGAGGTTTTCTCATTTTGTGCATTCATGTTGCGACAGGTCACTATAATACTGGAAATTTTAACAAGGAAATGTGGTATTGCTGCTGTTCAATCAGTTGCTCCAGAAAAGCATAGGAATTTTCTGACTACCGTTATCGAGGTAATTATTTGTGTTATTTGTTTAGTCATCCCAGTTTCATCAATTTTTAGAAAAATGAAATTTATTCATATTGGGGACTATATTGAATATTTCCCAAGAATTTCGGTAAAAAAAAGTAGGCGATGAATGTCGGTAGCTGGGAAGTTAGCTTTTGGTTCCCTAACAAGGCTTCATCCCTTTCCTTCCATCTGATCTACCTTTCTTTTGCTTCCAATGATCTCGTTGATCTGAAGGTGTCAAATGATTTTATTAATAAAAAAATCATTCGCACCAGCATTCTCTATGCTCTGATTCCTGATTCGAATATGGTATTTGATATCTTTTTGCCTTGGATAATTCCTCCGCCATTTTAAGTTCCCAAGATGTCTCATGAAGACCAGTTTGCAACATGTGGGTTATATGTAATGTCTGTATTATTGCAGAACCGACGTGGCAAATCAACTTCGGAAGAAGCTGATGATAATGATGCGGACAAAGCGGATTCATTAACTGCGGGGTCTGTTCTCTTTCTGTTGCTGCTTTTACGGTTTTCAGTTTATTATTGGTAGTGCGCATTTGAATGTCTTACAATTAATTACTTGTTGAATATCAGCAGGTCTCGGAAGAGGAAAGATGGGGGATCCGGCACATTTAAACAGAAAAATGATAAATTCGAACACCGGAAGAGAAAGAGGGACAAAAGGGATGGCAGCAAGCGATCTGATTCAACCGAACCTGCTGGCATATCAGATAGCCATGGTGGTGGAATGAAAACGGCTAAAAGACCCAAGCACTTTGGAAAACCAATGAAGGGTCAATCAGATGGATATGGTAAAAAGAAGAATTTCGACAAAGGGTCGGACACCGGCAACGTCAGAGGTCAGAAGAGAAAGTTAGACCAGCCAACTACGAGCCAAAAGCTCAAGGCAGCATCCGGCGACAAACAACGTTCTTTCAAGGCTCGAACTCGGCCCAAGAAATTCAAGGGTGCAAACAAGAAAGGTAAGAAATGAAATATACAAAGAAATTAACCGATTCACAGTATCAGCACGAAGGTGAGCATACTTGGCTTGACTTAGAGCAAGTGTTGAATATGTATCTGAAACATGTATATTAACATGTTAGAAGATTTTTGTATTTAGAACGTAAGATTTAAGTGTCTGAAAGATGGTTATCAACTGAAGCACAATTATGAATCTGACATGGAATTGGATGAGTTGAATTTTTATCTGATCTTTATCTGTTTTGACTTCATTTTTAATTTTAGGGTAAAATTTTGCTTACCTGGTATCAGGAGGGGATGTATGTTGCGGTTTTCTACCCCAGCCCAAGAAATTAGGTTGTCAGATTTTTAATTTGGGATCTACGGTATTTTTTACGGTACATAGAATTCGTCACTGATGAATTTTAATAAAAGATATTTTTTTTTTAACTTTTACACTTGATGTGATAAAAATTAATAAAAAAATATATTTTATTGGAATTCATTATCTCGAGATAATGAGTTTAAATAAAAATATTATTTAAATAAATTCGTTACTTTGACGTGATGAATTCTTTAAACACCAAAGGAAATGCTGTAGGTTGCAAATTAAAATTCTGACAATTATATTTTTCTGCCTGCCGTATAGGGCTTAAAGAACCTGTATGTGGAACGTCCATTATTTTGGAAAAAAAATATTAAATTTAGTTTAATTTATTAATAAAAATAAAAAAATAGAAAGATTTGCATACTCAAATTCTTTTAGTAATAAAATATTAAAATTTTAGATCATCATTTTTATAATTTCTAGATCCGTTGGTATGAATAGTTTTTTTTAATATATATTTATTCTTTGAGTTAGAAATATAATTGGAAATATACAAAGAGAAATATTGTAATAAAAGGTGCTATAGTATTTATTTGTAGGGTTGTTTAAATAATCGAACTAATTCGGTTAATCGATCGAATTAAATTAGTTCGGTTAATTCGATTCGGTTACTGAATTAGTTCGATCGGTTAACGGTTAAGAAAATTTTTAGAATTCGGTTAACGGTTAATTCGGTTCGAATTCGGTTAATTAACCGAAATTAAATTTTAAATATATTATATATAACATATGAGATCAGCCCAAACCATTTAAAACCCAATTAATAATTTAAGATCCAATAACTTTTAAACTTAAATCAATATTAATTAATTTAAAAAATTATATAAAATTTTTATTTTATAATTATATATTATTTAAATTAATTGTAAACTATTTTTTTAATTAAAAAAATATTAAATATATTATATATAACATATAGGCTAAGCCCAAACCATTTAAAACACAATTAATAATTTAAGATCTAATAACTTTTAAACCTAAATCAATATTAATTAATTAAAAAAGTTATCTGAAATTTTTATTTTATAATTATATATTATTTAAATTAATTATATATTTTTTTAAATTAAAAAACATTTAAATTTTATATAAATTAGAAAATTTTAAAAAAAATCGATTAATTTGAAAATTAACCGAATTAACTGATATTTATTCGGTTTAGTTAATATTTTCGAAAAAAAAAATTGGTTCGGTTAACGGTTAAAGAAAAAAAAATCGATTAATTCGGTTATGGTTAATTCGGTTCGGTTTTAACCGAATGAACAACCCTATCTATTTGAGTCGGGTCCAGGATTTTCAATTACAAACCTAGAGTACAAGAAATTAAATAATGGTTAAAAGTATACAAATGGTATTCGACTATATAATGTTATTTTGTTGAGTTTTTTTACTATTAAAAGTTATAAAATGATCATTAGACTATAATATATAGTTTTGTTGAGTCTTTTAATTATTAAAAGTTATAAAATGGTCATTCGATTATTTACAATATTTCAAACTTGTTAATTTTTATTAAAAATTAATGGCATTTTGAGTTGGATATTAATTTTTTGTTTGAGATATAATAGTCGTTTGAGATTTTAAGATCATTTTTATTATATCTTGGACAATAAATTAACATCCATCTCAGATTGCCATTAATTTTTAACAAAAAAATGAATTTAAAACAAATAAATAGTCACATGATTATTTTATAATGTTTAATAGTCGAGGATTCAACAAAACAAAATCTTATAATTAGATAATTATTTTTTAATTTTTTAATAATCGAAAAACTTAACAAAATAACATTATAATAAGAGAATCATTTGTATATATTACTCTAAAAATTATCTGAATTTGAAATTTTTAAAATTATTTGAGCCCAGGCCACACATTAAAACCCAAGTGCACAAAAGGGTACTTGTGTAATTTCATTAAATAGCCTTACAATGTTCCATACTTGGGCTACTTCCGTTTCCCATATATAAATTTCGGTTTTTTATTTGGAGAATTCTGGCTGCCCATTTTCTTATTTTGTTTGCGAAGCGTTCTGTGATCAGCTGTGAAATTTTCTGCAATTTTCTCTAACAAATCGAAGATCTAGAACCACCTCGAACGACGCTATGTACGGTTCCAGAGGGTAAGTTCGTCAAAGCCCCTTACTCGTGTTCTTGATTGGAATTAGGGATTTTTTCTGTTCTGATTTTGTGTTTGAATTCGAATAAATGATTGAAATTAATTGAAGATAAAATGGTTTAATATATACCCCCAAACTAAATTCTGATTAGATTCCGGTTTTCCCAAAGTTCTATGTCAAAAGCTAATTTCGAGGGTGAATTTGGTTTTGGATCGTTTTTTTTATTATTGAGATTAGGGTTTCCTCTGCTATGATTTTGCATTGGGATTTAACGAATAATTGAAGATAAAACGGATGAATTTGATGTTATTTTCCTTTTTGTTTGATGAATTTTGTTTTATTTTATGAAATTAAACATAATATTATGGAAAATTCAGGCATTAGTTTATATCATATATGAATCTTTGTGCTGTTAATGGAATTGTTTGGGAAAGATGTAAAAGGATAGGATTATGGTTCTTTAGAATACAATAAAAAGAGATTATGAATCATGAATTGAATTATATGCATGATATTTTTTCTTATGTTTATTGTTTGAAGGAAGGTTATGAATATGGAAAATGTTATTAGAATACATGAATTTAGGGATTTAAGAAATTAGGTATTTGGGAAGTGTGGGTTGGGTTTGGTTTTATTAACAGGTTTAGTGGGGGATTTTTTTTTTTTTTTGCCTTTTGGGTATGGATGATTGAAGGGCAATGTTGGGAAGAGGGGGGGTTTCGGACGGGTACGAGGTCGGCACAAAGAGACAAAGAATGATGGGATCAACTCCCTACTTCGCAGTGAACAGCGGCATGGGTGGCTATCAACCTTACGGTTATGGTGGTGGTTACCAGCCACCTGCCTTTCCCGTGGTCCGTCTGAGGGGTCTTCCTTTCAACTGCACTGATATCGACATTTTCAAATTCTTTGCCGGACTGGACATTGTCGACGTTTTGCTGGTCAACAAGAATGGAAGGTTCTCTGGAGAGGCCTTTGTCGTATTTGCCTCGTCCATGCAGGTGGAGTTTGCTTTGCAAAGAGATCGACAAAACATGGGACGCCGCTACGTGGAAGTTTTCCGGTGCAAGAGGCAGGACTATTACCATGCCGTGGCTGTGGAGGTGAATTATGAAGGAATCTACGACAGTGATTTCCACGGAAGCCCCCCACCGTCTCGAGCAAAAAGATTCAACGATAAGGACCAGATGGAGTACACAGAGTTACTCAAGCTGCGCGGTCTTCCCTTCTCGGTGAAGAAATCCGAAATCATTGAATTCTTCGGAGATTTCAAGATCATCGAGGGTCGGATACAAATCGCATACCGCCCCGACGGAAAAGCTACTGGAGAGGCATATGTGGAGTTTGCTTCTGTTGATGAGGCAAAAAGAGCCATGTGCAAGGATAAGATGACAATAGGGTCTCGGTATGTGGAATTGTTTCCCTCAACACCGGACGAAGCTCGGCGTGAATCTAGATCGAGGCAGTGAAGAGGTGTGGCATTCTAGCCAGAGATGCAAGTCCCCCAGATTTAGAGGGGTGGTCTTCCTACCTGTGTCTCCTCATATATCATCTCCTAATCCCCCATTAGGTTAAATATGATTAGTATGTTGATGTACTTTCTTAGATATTTGAACTTAGATATTTGAATTTTTGGTTTTAAGGATATAAAAAGTATTCTTATCTTTGAAATACTTTATTTATTTATTGTATAATTATTCTTTTTGATAAAGGTTTTTTATTATTGATGAAGAAAATAGTTTATTTCATCTACCGGATAAAGTGGCTCAATAATATATTTTGTAAATAAAATACAATTACAACTTAAATTTTGGATTTTTTTTTTTTTGAAAAATTGTAATTCAATCAAAAAAATTATATATGTAAATATATAACATATTATTTTAGAGTTAAAACATTTATTTGTGGTTAATTGAATCTTAATTTGATTAATATTAAGATTATTGTAGTTATTTTATTAAAATATTTAAAGTATAAATATACTTAAAAATAATTTTATATTAGTGTATGTAATTATTTGATAAAATATATGAAAAACAAAATTCTCCATACAAAATATTAAGCCAATTCAATTACCCCCATTGATTATAATGGTTAATTATTTAAAACTTGAAAGGAAAGACAATCATCCTTACGTTAAATGGCAAGCCTCGTTCTCTTGCATTGGTCAGATCTTTAACAACTTCAGCATATACTGACTTTTTTGTCAACAACTGGCTTGTCAGCTGAAGGTAGAAGCCCCGTGGCAGAAGGACCCAATGGAACCTGACGACTAGAAGTCATGGAAACTATTTGACCTGACCGTACACCACCAATGCTTTTATCGGTCATGTTGGTCTTAGGTAATGTTGAAATCCGGCTCAAGCTCTGTAAGAACTCCCGGTTTTCCTTTTGCCAGTCTTCCTACAAGACATTAGACATCACCAATCAATCATGTAATTGAAGAAAAACTTACAAACTAACATGTCATCATCAATTTGTTAATTTTCATGTTCAATGTATCAAAAACAATTCATCATTATTGTGATACAAGAAACTACCCAGTTAGCAGGAAACCAGTGGTTGAACTCTATCCCTTAAAAAACTGACTGAAAAAAAATTAAGGGTTTATTTGGATATCATCCCTTAAAAAACTGACTGAACACCCTAATGGTAATAACAGGGGAAAAAGACATAAAAGCACAGCACATATGCACATTTCTTCTCTGTAAGTTCACCCATCAAAAACTCAAGTATCTTCATAATCTCATTCATAATAGTTTATTTAATGCATTTAATTCTTATCTTTTACAAAATCAAACTTCCTTTCACTAAGCACCGATAATGAATGAAAATCTATAATTATGTCAACCAACCGCTTGTAATATCAACAGCAAAGTGATCAAGTTATTTAAAATGCACCGAAAGTTGAGAGAAATAGAAAGTATAGTAGAGATATGCAAGCCATCTCAGATAATATCAGAAAACAAATACACAAACATATAAAGAAAAGAACTCTCCTTTATTTACCGTTTAGAGGATTAAAGAGGAATAAACCTTTCAGGATGGCAGTTTAAGCAATACATAGTTTATATCCTTTTTTATTCAGTGTGTTTGACAGTCAAAACGCTATAATTCACACATTATACAGCAATAGTTGATAACAATAACTTGGAACTAAAACATGCCTAATCCAAAAGAATGTAATTAATCAGGGAAAATGGCGATGGTTGGCCATTAGTGATCAAGATTAAATTAAAAGTATTCAGTCCATAAAGTAAATACTACCTGCTGCAGAAACTCCTCGACACTCGTTGCTTCAGCAGGGAAAACATCCTCAAACGTGATCTTCAAAAAGATGATTTTTTTTTATAGGAATAGGAGGACTCATTAGGAACCTCCCTCATAGTTTACATTTGATGTAAACTGATTGAGGGAGGGAAAGAGCACCTCATTTTATTGAAAAACCAGAATTACATAAGATACACAAAACATCCTGATCCTGAGAAACACAGGATAAACATAACACTCTACCCCTCGAAAATACACCATGACCATAATACAAATAGCGATGGGAAAAAATCACCCATCAGCCTAACCCCACACCAACACTATCGTAAAGTACAACACTAAGCCTTCAACACTCATCCGATTCCCTGTTTAGCTAACCTATCTGCCTCCATATTGCAACTCCTAGAAACCCATCTCAGAACAACACCCTTTGTAGTAACAAGAACTCCTATTTCCTCCACCAACTCACTGAAAATAGTAGGGGAAGGATGCCGTTTTAAAATCCAATCTACTGCATATTTGTTATCACTTTCCAAAATAAGTCTTCCCTTGTTGGCCCAATCGGATGAAAAGAAGAAGAGCAATCCTTTCTTAATCGCTTTCAGTTCAGATAGTATAGGGGGACCAGGGCCCACTGCGGAAGAAAAATTAGCTAAAGTGCAGCTGCAGGAGTCTCTCAAAACACCACCAATACCACCCTGCATCCCATCTCCAGTCACTGCCCCGTCAACATTGAGTTTGAACATATCAGATGGAGGAGGAGTCCAGCAAATAACCTTCTTAGAACTCGAATTAGAGGGTAATAAATCCGCCCGCGTAGGATCCCCTACTAGAAGGTCTGTCAGAATCCGAACCCCAGGGTATTTAGCCAAGAACCATTTAGCCAATCTAAATCTAGTAATGAAGAACAGAACAGTAGGGTCACATATGCCGTTTTCAAATACAACCTGATTTCTGGCCTTCCAAATAGACCAAAATATGACAGCCGGAATAAACCTCCAAATAAGGGAATTATTCCTAAGGTTCGATCACGAACACAAAATTGAAGAAGGGTCTTGAGGCATCACCGTAGAGATATTCCATAACCTTAGAAATTTACTCCACAAATCCGAGGCAATAGGGCACGATAGGAACAAGTGTGCAATCGTTTCATCCTGAGCATGACACAGAGGACAAAGAACATCCGAAATCTGAAGTCATCTTCTCTTCAATTCCACTCTCACTGCCACTTTCTGATGACAGATCTGCCATAATAAAGTTTGTACTCTTGGAGGCGCCAATCCATCCCAAACCCACTTCTTCCATACAAAACTCCCTTCCGACCTATCTGTAACGATAATCGACAAGATTTGACCGAGAAAATGCCATCCCCCTTTCCTGACCAACCCAAAAAATCATCCACACATCGTGACAGCGACGACTTGTCAATCAAAGACATAAAAGCAATCCACTGGTCCAATTCCCAATCACACAAAATTCTTCTAAGTTGTATATTCCAAACCCAAACATCGTCTTCATACTCACCAAACTCAGAGACCATCCCCCATTTGTTTGTCGACAAAGCATAAATTCTTGGGAATTGTCTTTTAAAGGCAGATTAGTAATCCAAACATCATTCCAAAAAGCAATCGACCGCCCATCCCTACAATGACCTTTGATTATTTCTCAAACATCCACCAATCTGATCATTCTTATTATAGTTACTGAGGATACCTCTCCATATCCAGGAATCAAAAGGTGTAGACGCTTCTGAAATTGAGAGAGACAAAATGCTAACGTTGGATTTGCTGCAAATCAGATTCTTCCACTGACTATATTTTTCATTGGCAAATTTCCAAACCCATTTCCCTAGAAGGACCCTATTAATCAACCTTAAATCCAGTATTCCCAGACCACCCTCTTCGATTGGTTGACAACCGACTTCCATTCACCCAGTGGATTCGTTTTTTCAAGATCATAACCCCAAAGGAAGTTGGCCATCAGCGAGTTCAACTTCTGAGACACTTTGTGTGGAATCTTGAAATAGATAGGTAAAAAATTGGCAAAGATGAAAGCACGGATTTAACCAAAACAAGTATGCCCGCCAACGACAGTGAATTTACTTTCCACCCAGCTAACTTCTTATTAAAATTCTGGACAACCGGTTCCCACATACCCACTGAATTTTTCCTAGATCCAATCGGTAAACAAGATAAACATTGGAAATACCCCACTCCACATCTTGCTTTCCTAGCACAATCCTGAACCCTGTCAGCATCCATATTAACCCCAAATACAGTACACTTTGACAGATTTAAATGCACCCCAGACATCACACCGAAGACCCTCAACACTCTTCTCAAGTTTAGAAATTGCATTGTTGAATCGCTGCAGAAGAGTATTAAATCATCAGCAAACTGCAGGTGAGTCAACTGGAAGGAATTGCCAATCCTACCAATGCTAACCCTTGAAACAGACCTTTATCAACTGCCTTAATCAACATAAGATTTAATAATTCCCCCACTAAATTGAATAGAAGGGGATAGGCTGCACCCTTGTCTCAACCCTTTACTAATATTGAATTCCTCGGTAGGGGAACCATTAACTAACACCGAAATAGATGCAGTTGAAACACAACATTTAATCCATGAGATCCATTTATCCCCAAAACCCATGTCTTTCAAAATCCTGAATAAGATAGGCCACTCAACCGAATCATAGGCCCTACGGAAGTCAGCTTTAAAGACAATTCCTTTCCTCCCTTGTTTTCTCCAATATTCGATTCCTTCATTGCCAAAAGTGCACAATCTAGCAACTGCCTACCCGGAATAAATGAGAATTGTGAAGGGCTAACCAAACCTTGAATAACAGAGACTAGTCTTTTCGATAATATTTTAGAAATAATCTTGTAGAGACTGCCAACGAGACTAATAGGTCTGAAGTCCTCAATTCCCTGTGGATTAGCCTTCTTTGGAATTAACGTAATAAAGGAATGATTCACTCCCTTTTCCCATAATTTCCCTCTTTGAAAATCTTGAACAAACTGCATGACAAGGTCTTCAGTATAGTCCAGTATTTTTTAAAGAAACCCATAGTAAATCCATCCGGACCAGGTGCCTTAGCACTATCCGCCTTAAAAACATCATCCCACTTCCTGTTCATTGATACTAACCTCTAATCCAGCCTTTTGTTCCACGGTCAATTTGGCAAAATTCAGATTCCATTCCTCCACCTCCAGAGATGTTATCTCATTGTAATTTACTTTAAAGTAATCAAAGATAGCCGATTTAATCATGCTGGGATCAGAAATATCAATCCCAGCCACTTTCAAAGACGAAATAGCATTCATTCTGCTCCTATTCAGAGCGCAAATATGGTAATATCTGGTATTTCTATCCCCATCCTTGATCCATTTATTTCGTGATTTTTGGAACCAAATACTCTCCTCCTTCCTATGCAGAC